ACCAAGCCTGTGCGTGCAAGGGAAACTTTTTTTTTCTACTTTCCTATCCAGAAACGAAGGAACTACCGATGAGTCGAAAAAAACGTTTGGGATGCTATGAGCAGCAGCAATTGAATTTGCCCCGAGAATATTCTGTTTTTGGCGGATAACAATGTATCGTAAATAATAGGAAGTTTAAGATGTGGCGGCGACAAGAAAGTCAAATAAGCAATAGCTTGACAAGGCAAAACAATAACTTTGCACGAGCATCACGCTTTTTTGTACATTTCTTTGCCGTCAACTGTACGACGTAACCCGTGAAAATGCCTAATTTCACGTTTTGTGAAGGACGTAAACTGACGCAATGACAAAATTCATTCTCTTCATGAACTTGGATATGGTTGTAGAAATTCAGCTCCAGAATAGTTCGAATGCATTATTTGACAAAGTAAGCGAGCTGGAATAATCACGATAGAGACTGAAAAAAATATGAAGTCACTTTTCCATGCGACGTTTTCGTGGCAGTCTTCCGTCGTGGTATCTTTTAAAAACTCTCTATAAATATTTACGCAAGAAGTGGCCGATGCACACGTGAATACCTGTTGTAAGCTGAAGCTCGTATTTTTGGAAAAGCGTCTTTAGTTTTCGGCCAGACAGTATTTTGAAATCAGATGGGTATTTTATATCAAAACTGAAAGTTTCCTGACTGCCGGCATTTCATTGGTACATGAGACAGACAAGCCGTTATCGAGACAATAGCCGTCGTGTACGAAAACACGAAAAGAACTCAGGAGATGTGTTCGCCGATTGGGCACAATAATACAAAGCATTTTTTGTGCCCAATCAGGAGCCGGCATCCGCTGGAATTTTTGGAAATGGTCCGGTGAGAGTCGGTACCCAGGGGCTCTTTCGCCCTTACTTGAAAACTTTCTTCCCGCCTTTTCTCCCGACCCGACTGACTGCCCCTGGGTCTCCGAGGATGTAATTATGTCTGAATGGAGGCATTTTGCACATTATTTTGGCGTGGGTGTCGGCGGGGATCTCGAGTAGTTTAGAATGGTCAATTTACTCCTCTGACTATCGAGTAACTGTGGAGTTAGGTCGAGTCTATGACGTCATCGTCGCCTATCTCTCTTTGTATATGGTAAATACCATCTAGACCTGTATAACGATAACACTGTCGAGTTAGTATCAAGTCGTTCTTTTCACACGAAGTGAGGTGCTCTCTTACAAAAGAGGAACAATAGGCTTCTCCCATTGTTTCCAGTAGTGTACTATGTTGCATTATAAGCCCCGTAGGTGTATAGGTATAAGTAAATCATTAAGATTCAACTGCGTTCCTGCATATTAATTTGGTAGTGTCGATTAGGTATAGGTAAATCATTAACATTCACATACCTTCCTGCATAAAAATTCGGTATAGGTTTCCTAATGAGCGTCTCTCTTACACAATGGGAACAATTATAAGGCTTGCCTATAGACTTGCCCGGTAAGGAACTTTAGTCGGTTTGTCAGAACGTCTAGTTACAAAATAGGAGTAATTCAGGAGCGATCACCTAGCAACGCGAGAAACGGCTTATGTCTTCTTTTTAGCGCTAATAATGGAATATATAAACAAAACACACACATTCAGAAAGTGGAGCTGAAAACTCTTTATTTCAATTTTGACTTACTATTACAAAATCGTTTACTCCTTTCTATCTCGAAGAAACGACTAATTATTGAAGTCTCAGCGCTTGGTGAGCTTATTGACTTGTTTCACGCGTCGTTAGTCACTTAATTATGCGAGTTAACAAGCCAACGGTTGCATACAAATTGGCTGCACAGTAAAAACTTCAAGCCAAAACCTTAACTATAAAAACACAAAAAAACAATAATTTTTTTTTAGTAACTTAACAAGGATCAATTGAATTGTTCCTTTTATTGTCTTGTTCGTCCTCAGGTTCAATTTCTTCCTCATCGTCCTCATTATCGCTCGCAATCAAATTAATCCCTCTACTTTCATCTTCGCTGTCTGCCTCTTCGCTTTCTTCCCCTTGTTCGCTGTCGAGTCCGCTTCCGTCAGACTCTACATTTCCTTCTTGTATATCTACAGGTATTTGCGCGAGTTGATCTTCATGCGTCTCACCAAGGTTTGGGGCAGATGCTTGTTTCAGTCACTGTGATTGAGACATGGGTGTGAACTCTTAACGGGGCAGAGGGGAACTTTGCAGGCTTATCTTGGTGAGGTACTGGATAAACTCTGTAATAAACGCGTTTGGGTCGCCGTTAGCCACGAAACATTTGGGTGCTTGGTAATCAGGCACGTTACAACTACGTACGTTGGCACTCAAGGGTACAGATTGCTAGTTTAATTTATCTGTGTTTTTTAATTCTTGTGTTTTCTCTTTGTCACAGTAGCATTCGAATATTAAATGTCGCGTGAGTCGATACGGAAAATAGCGTGCTTCTTCAGGAACGACAATGCCTTCTTTTTCTAGTTCTCGAAAAACGGTTTTTGGTAGTCGTACTACTCGCCACCCGGGTACTTGAGCTGCACTTTGCGGTCACAGGTCTCCTCGTGACGACTTCAACAGGACCCTTTGTTCCAATATTTACCGCAATGGGAACAACAGAAGGATCTAGAGTAACGCGCCAGATCTTTGATGTACGAGAAATGGTATTCGTACAAGTTTAGGTAATGCTTCATGGCGGTGCGGACGGCGGATCAGTGTAGCGGCCGCGATATCAGATTCATTTTCTTCGTTGTCTTCTCTATGGGTTTGAGTGGGTGCTAAGCTGTACACTTGGATTTTCACTTTGTATAATTTTTCTACTTCGTCCAGTTCACTTAACTTTACACTATGGAATTTCTTTTTCACCAAACTGACTCGACGTTAACTCAGAACATGTGAATATTAATTAAAGTATAGGTCAGTCTTATCGACACTAAATCGACAGTAAAGAGAAGTAAATTGACCATTCCAACCCATTATCTCGTATTACATCACACATGCTCCACCTCTAAAAACATTTAAGATTACGATTTAACACTAGCTTAGTATTTACCAATTTTATATTCATGGTAAAACAGACAGCGTTACATTAAGTTAAATACTCTATGATAAAGCTCGGGTATGTTGAGCACTAGGCCACCATTCCTCCTTTTTTCTCTCCTATTTTACATGTTTTCGTTTTACAGTTTGTTTTAGTTTTGATTATTTTTGTCAGGCTGTAAATGGTGGGATCAGCGGCTTGTACCATGCAGCCTTTATTTTGTATGTAACATTTTTTTTAACTCGTATTCACGCAGATGCTTCGACGACAGCAACAACAACAACACTCTTATCACATTCACCCACATCATCACCTTCACCCATATCTTCATTGATAACAAAAACATCTGCAACATCGTCATCATCAAAGACACTCATATCAACATCGATAACAGAAATGTCATCACCTACATCATCATCTATGGCACTTGTACCAACACTGATGGCACAAACATCAACAACAGCAACATTATCACCATCGCCCATATCAACAATGACAGCAGAGTCGACAACTGCGTCATCACCGTTACCTGTACAATCATTGATGACAGAAATAGAAAAAACATCGCCATCTTCAACGTCACCCATACCAACTTTCATGAGAGATTCATCGACCGCGGCGGCATTTCCGTCAGCTGTACCATCAACAAAATCACCAGCACTACAATCAACAATAACACAGTTATCATCTAAAACAACACAAATACCAACTTGGAAAATATTGGTGAGTTATGGTGGATTGTTAATAACTACAGATTTTTATTGAAAACACAAGCATGATAAAAACGCAACAAATTATTTCACCTCAAACTCGCGCAACCTGCAAGAAAATATATGAACTGCATGGTATCTCACAAGAAAAGATGCAAATTTACTGAGGTCGGGATGATTGTCTTCTATGAAACTGGCCATAGCCTTTGAGAGTCATCTCCCGTTGAGGCAGCCCATTGAGAACAAAAAGTTAGTTTCGTTCAGGAGACAGAAGGACCCCCAACAGCGCAGTGCGCGAAGAATTCCCCTAAGAAAACAACTGCGATAATTTCAGTTGATGCGTAACTTGAGAACCATAGAACCATAGAAAAGGAAGGAATAAAAGACGGTGAAAAAATCAATTGATTATGTCTGAATGTTGAAAGAGGCTGCTCGTTGCCAGTTAAGACAAGAGAGTTATAAATCATGGTCGATCAGTATTGCCAAAGAAGAATTCGCAACTCCATAAAAGATAGTATAGGGTGAAAACACGATTGTCTCTTTAATGAGGGGATTTTCTTTCTGGTATAAACCTCTGCATTTTAACGTCTTCCGGGGATTCAGGTAGCTCTGAGTGTTTGAGTCCGAAGTGAACGCGGTAAGCAAACGCTGTCACAATTTCCCCCATTGCTATGTGCTCGATACTTTTCAGCTACTGTCCAGTTCGTAATAGCGAGGTGTCCGCAAATAAAGGCAAAAGTTGACTGCGTCCGCCCGAATCAAAATTAATGGTAAATGCTGATGTAGGGAAATACTATGGAGCAAAATTGGCCAGCTCACAAAACCTTCACACATTCCTTTGCAGGTATCTCGGTACTCTTCATTGATTAGGGCTCTCAATGTTAGCAACAAAGGCTCCTTACAGGTGAAGTCGTCTCTACTGCAAATAACTAACTTGATTCCTAAGTTGAATACGGCCTTGATCACTGACTCTTATTAATGTCGCATGTATTTATTGATCATTTTTTTTCTTGAAATGAAGCACTCAAGCATGAAAAAAATTTAGTCCGTTTTTTCAAGGTGATTTCTTTCTCATTTGATATCGGAAGGGGCAAAAATTGATTAATTTGCTTGGTTCTTTTAGCTGATAACATTAAGCTTGTCAGATGTTGACAGATATTTGACAAGGTTCAATATAAACGTCATGTATTCATTATAAAGAATAGATGGTCTTACAGCGGCATATCTTCTCTAATCCATCCATTTTACCTTTTTTTTTTTTTCTCTTTTTCACAGGAAGGAATCAATGCAACCAGAATTTTTTTAGAAGATGCAAAAAAACTACCGCCAGGAGGAAATGACAGAAATATACTGGTAGCCACTCACGAACTCGAATCATTTGCAATAAAATACGGCAAAATTCATCTCACAGCGAAGGAAAGCGCATTTATTGTGCAAGAATTGTTTGGTGAGTTTTGTGCTCTGTTTGATGAGTCAGTTTTATTTTATTTTTTTTCTTTTTTACAGTGTAGTCAAGTGGTGCGTATGGCCGTAATTAATAAAAGCATATTAACCGGTTAGCTATTTTTGGAGTGGCCAATACTAGGAGCTAGGTTGGGGGTAGGGGAGGGGAGGCTGAGTGATCACACCTGGAATTAACTAGGCCATTTAAAGAGAAATCTATGCAAACAAATTTTTTTTGGAGAAAACTATCCCAGGTACTGATTTTTTTTTCTATACGAACAGACATACGACAGACAGATTTTTTCTACCTGAAATTTTCTAAAACCAGCCATTACAAGTTGGGCTATACAAAAACTAATTACCTCTCATTATTTGAATTAATATAAGAAATGGCGAACCTGCAAGTGAAAGGGCTGTACCGGCGGGTGTACGTTACGTCTTAATGGGCCAACCATTTGACTTTTGAGTGGGGGAGGGTATGGCTGATTTCAGGAAAAATATATCATGCAAACTGATTTCGAGGAAAAAATAATTCTTGCAAGGAAATACCTGGCGGAAAAAGTTTCTGCATTGAAGAGAAATATTTTTCATTGCTTATAGTGCTGGAAAAAAAAAATCTTACATCGTCAAGTTGTCAATGTCAGGAAAAAAAATTATATCATCAGAGGTTTGGGGAAGAAGATTCTTAACCAAACCAAATCACCCATCAAAAGTCACTACAATTGTATGACATCATACGAATATTGTAATAACTGACATATTTCATTGGTAAAACTTTCCAGTCAGACAGTTATTGGTTATAGGTTTTGTAGTAATGAAGATTCAGAGGGTTTTGGAAAACAATACGAAACCGATTACTTGCTCTAAAAGAAATGGAACAGAGAGCATTGTGATTCCTTCGGAAAACTTCAAAGTACAAGGTAAAAGCAGTGTCACTAGCACCTTAATTATGAGATAATTATGAGTACTTGCACTGTGGCGACCAATAATATATTTTTAAAAGTCGTACCAGTTTTTCAAACATTGCATAAATGCACTTTGGCACCGGCAAGATTGTTTGGAATTAGTTAAGATTGAGTTAAGAATTCAAATACAGTCGAACCGCTGGGTACGGACACCTCTATATTAAGGACAGTTTCCAATGTCCCGACAAAATTCTCATACATTTTCTTAAAAAAAAAAACCTCTACAATGCGGACTCTCTATAATACGGACAACGGACACTAAATCTCGGCCCCAGAGAGTCAATTCATATAACTTAACCCCTTTATTACGGACACTGCGGTGATCAGGTGAATCCCGAATCCAGATCAGCTGAATCTGCACAGGGTGAATCCCGTCTGGCTGATGAGCCATGCAAGGGGACTTCAAAAGCCCGTCGCTGTTAGTATATCAAACGACAATTTGCAAAAGGTGTGCAGAGGAACATAACCGACTTTTTCAAGGTTTGAATAACTACAGATAGCATAAAGATCTTTTCTATTACATTTTGTACTCTAGTTGCTGTTTACTGCACTTGCAAAATAGCGAAAGACACTTTCAGAATTGTGTTTTAATTTACGTTACAACTTTTTACATGCACCATTGCGCTGTAGCTTGTTTCGTTTTAAAACAGTGATATGTACAATGTTGTATGCTATTGAAAGACAGTGTCTTTGTACTGTGATTTAATAAACTTAAATGTAGTTTAAAGGCGAGTGTAAGCCTAGTCTTAGCTACTGAACACTTAAAACTGTAAGTGGAGTCATGAATGTGACGTCATCGTAGTGACCTCTCTAATACGGACACTTCGGTCTGTTCCTTCAATGTCCGCACTAGAGAGGTTCGACTGTAGCCTATATTACGCTAACTCAAGAAAGGGGAAATAAAAGGTCAGAGACCTTAATGTTAAATTCGGTATCGGCTAAGCATTTAACGTTTTGCCTAATCACTTTAATTTTATCTCAGACACTGTCACCGTATGCATGCTCTACCATGGTGAGGTCAGGAAGTGGATACCCGGTGGAGAAAGAGTTGGATTAAACGGGTTAGGCATATAGGCCTTTTAATCTCTTACATATAAAACATAGTAGTAATAACCAAAGTTGAAAGGAGTGCGGGCGACAACCATCGAAGGTCAAAACGATTTTGCTCAAACGCTGTGACGTGTCACGTGACAGATGGTCAAAACACGCGTTCTACGCATTCTATTTACTCTTAGTGGAAGTCCAAACAAATGCTGGCTACATACATGCGACGCATGCGTAATAACAACCTGGAGATTAGGATTGCGGACTTCTCTTGTCTTCCGCAATTAATTCTTCGCCTCGCGTAACGAAGGTTTATAATCTTGTCTACATTTGCATAGCGCGTGGAACGTGCGTGGATCTCACAGCAAGACAAAAATACGAGTCGGCTTTGTATATACAGCTTTTTCGAGAAAGGTTGTCGGAAAAAGTGCACGCGACAAGCCCGAAAGGTATTGTGGGCGCTTTTACGATTCACTGTTTTTCAAAGAAATTTGAAAGAATGGCACGAGAGGCCATGGGAGTATAGTTGTGAGTGGTAAAGGAAAGCAAGAAAAGTAGGTTTGACATCGACTGTGCCAGGAAAAGTGTATTGATCATATCCCATAGTACCTATCGGGATTGCCACGTGCACATTTTTTCCTAACAAGCTTTCTCGAAAGAGCTGTATATCAGGTTTCCGGGTCAGTAGTCGCAGTGACTTCGAGCATTGTGACGTCAAGGTACATTTTCAGGTTTCCAAACAACACGATTTCCACTAGCTGCACTATCATGTTTTATTCATAAAAGGCTAACGTGTCTATTCATCCTTTGTGAAAAATTATTTACTTTGTTTATTCAATTCTCCTCATGCGTTTGACAGGGAACTGCAAACTGTACAACGACCGTCAGCAAGGGACTTCGCGACGGTTTGGGAGACACCTAGCGCCTTAGTCGGCCATTATTCTCCAAATGAAATGAGTTTAATTACCGATTTTAACGCTGAAACAGTGCTTATTTTCCTCAAATATACCTCTTGAATTATTGATTAACACAGCTCCACCACTACAAACAGCGTCTACCACCAGAATTTCACGGGAAAATGCTTTAAAGACTGATGATAGTTTGGCCACGATGTGGCGTAGTAGTCTATGAGACGACTTTGCATGCAGGTGGACGGGATTCAACTGTCCTCCAAGGCATTTTTTCTTTCATTTTTTCCCCTTTTTGGTCGCTTTGTTTTTACTTTTTCAACTATATCTTTTACCTATTGGCATGTTTTCCTTAATTCATGCGTACTGCTGACCCTTTACGGCTTCGCGAGGTGTTGTGATAAACGTATTTCTAGTTTAACTCTAAAAAGGACAAATTCATTAAGGGTTGAGAGACTCCAAAGAGGTATAAATTAAAAAATTTGCTCCAACTCCTTACAAAGCAATCACTCACGAAACAAAAGCCTAATAAACTGTAGAAAATGTGTTGTAGGTTGTTTACCATTCCCTGATGAGCAAACCAGTCGCTCCACGGTTTAGGCAAATGGTACGCAAAATTCAGGACTGGTAAATTTCGCCCCGGAATCGTGTTTACCATTTGTACGAATCAGTTCCATTTATAGGAAAACGACTGCGAAGGCCTGAAACTGGTGTCGAAGGTGGCTTTGAAGAAATGGAACACGAATTTCTGTCTGATATATTCCCTCCGAGAACACAGGACTACCTTTTCAGATGTTTCGTTGCTCCCGGAAATTGTCCGCTGGAACGAACCAAAAAGCCGTGCTGCATTTACTTTTCAACAGAAATTTCCGGAATCTTTTTGTAAATGGCAAGCAACCATAATGTACTTTCCAGGGTGAGTAGATAATTTGTTAACGAAGAAAATTTTAAGGGGGACGTATTTGACCATTTTTTTCAGACGCTACCTTTAAAAGTCACTGAAATTTTGCGGTGAGATTTCTACAACACTGTAATCATAAATTGTCTTTTCAATTTTTTCTAACAGTAAAACTATCATGAACTTCACGCTAAGTAATATAATAGGCAGCACATTAGATCCAAGGCCCCAGGTCATCCTTCAGAAAAACGTGTCAGTTATATTACGTTACGATGAGGTATGTTCTTTAGCTAGTAAGTGTGATTAAAATCTGTCTACTCATAAAAAAATGAGCATGCTAACTTCTCTAGCCGAGAAGTGATTGATTGATAACTGCTTGTACTGTTTTAGGATATTCTTGTTTTCTTTTTTTCTTCTTAATCTGGAGCACTTCAAAGAAGAAAATCAAAGAAAACTCAGTTAGTGGCTTAAAACTTGCGGAACTTCACCACGATGTAATCTGCGAGCTGGCTATTAGTTTTCTTCTGAGTCAGAGTAGTTCGAGAGCATACGTTAGGAGCGAGCAACGAAGCCGCGAAAAACAAGGGCAGTCCTTTTTACCATTAATTTGCATAATTTCAATTTTCGCTAGCCGCGCGTGGCAATGAGGTAAGAACCTGACGACCGCTCACGGTCTAGCCACGATGTAACCCCTTAATAAGGCGTTGTAAAATTATGCACTTTCTTTCTTTCGTGTTTCGTTTGTCGCTTTTACTTAGTACCAGGTATAAAAATATCTACGACGCCGACGAGTCATTCACCTTTCTTTGGTTTTTGTTAGTTTTATTCTATCTGAAACTTTAAATGTCTTTTTTAAGGGACTAGAGGCACATTGTGTCTTCTGGGATTTTGCTGCCAAGTAAGTGTGACAGAATTTTTCAATACGCACCTGAAAGGACTTAACAGCATCAGGGGTTATTAGTATGAGTTGATTTATAGTTATTTTAGATAATAATTGGACAATTCTATAGAGAAAATATCTTGCTACCGACTTTAATGCCGTTTAAGGGTTGATATACTGCTGCCCTTTGATTGGCCTTTACCTTTAAGCAGTCATACTCCGGAACTATATTTCAGATCACGTTTCAACGGTTCTTGGTCAAGCAAAGGATGTTCAATGGTCAATAGAACCAAAACGAAAATCACATGCACTTGTAACCACCTCACAAACTTTGCTGTTCTTATGCACGTTGGAGCAGACAATGAGGTTAGTTGGAGCAGCTTTTTGGCTTGTTTTCCCCATGTCCCAATACAATAACAACCCGCGAGTAGGAACCGAGATTTTAAGAACCGTTTAGGCTAGAATCTGCTAGTTAGGGCATCTCTACACAAGCACCTGTTTAGCCTAAAATGTGAAACAGGTTCTATGAAAAATTCTCTCAATTTCCATACATTACTTTATTGTTGTTGTGTTTCCATGTTTGATATACCGCAGGGTATATCGCTCCAGCGTTGGATCAGACGTTAGTACCTGCGATTTATAGCTATACTCTCTCTGACTAGCTAATATCGCAGATTTCCAGAGAGGTAGATGTGAAAATATAGATATCTTCCATAAATTTCAAAAATTTCAATCTTTAGTTGTTATTTGAGCTACAAACTGTTATTTAAATGATATTATTATTCATTCAAAATATTTCCACAAGCAAAATTCACCATAATCATTCACTGATGACCAAATTTAGAAGAATTTTATGTTTAACGAGGAAATGACGTCAAAAATGCAGCCTTCTACAAGTTAATGCACCGTTAACCGAGAAGACCTGGGGACGAGATTGCGTTGTTTTCGTTGTAAAAACTAAAATAGCGGACACTTCACTCGTTTCAAGAGTAAGCACTACAGCTGGATTAGCCGAAATAATGGCTAAAAACATAGCAAAAACAGCAAGAAGCTGAGACAACTTGGAGGGCGACATCTGCTATTTGGAGAATATTTGCGGAGCTGGACAAACCTAAACGTAAACTATCGAAGATGAACTTAGCATCGATGCAGGTAAGCTTGTTTTAGCTATGTTTTTAAACTAGGAATTATTTTTAATGAATAATAAAACAATTATTGAATTCGGCTTTCGTATCATATGAAGAATTATGGAGATCTCGGAGGGTGTTATCAAACACCCTTCTCGATCTCCATAATTCTTCCTAAGATACTGAGCCTCATTCATTGTTGATTATTGTATAGGAGTTCAATTAACTGTTGGTACTAAGACAAGGCATTACAATACATGTAAAATTACATTTAAAATTCATGTTGTCACTGCTTCAGTTTTTCTTCTTAAATTGATTTTTACATAAATTTTAATTTGATATTCAGATTTGATATAAAGAATAAACTGAATACCTCTAAATATTCAATGTATTTTTTCTTCGGAAAATAAGAACTTATTTAAGAACCTCAAATAGCCTAAATTTGTGCTAATTATACCATTTATGTAAGAACCTGTTTGGGCTAAATTGGGAAAATACTAACAGGTTCTTACTCGTGGGTTTTTACTGTACTATGAATGTTAAAAAAAAGGAGAAAAGGAGAGCATCTATAATCGTGGCGCCATGAACCCTTTTTCACATTGTCATTTATAGTTTTAGTGACTCGAGTAATAAGAAGGCCATTCCTGTTTTCGCCATTGAGAGTACTTCTTTGCTAAATAATAAGGGGCCCTGACTCTTTCCAATATTTGTCTTGATTGATTTGGCGTATTTGCAAACAGTTTTTAAACTATCTTTCCAACAGGTTCCAGCAGATCATAACGTGGCACTGAAAGTCATTACTTACGTTGGGTGTGCTCTATCGCTTATCGGAGAAGCACTCACCGCTGTTGCATATTGCGTCCTCATGTGAGTTACAAATGATATACCGTTATAAAAGAGCTCAGACATTTAGATTTGGTTTTGTGATACCCGGAACGATCAAGGTCGAGGTAAGCGTTTTTATCTTGGTTTCAAATGCACCAAGTATAACCTGGGGAAGAGTGAAACCAAGATTGTCGCCTGCAACATGCAAACAGTAAAACGCTTGAACAGACTAGACGTTCAACAGAAAAACCTGGGGCTGTAAAAAATTTATCTTCCAACGAGCCACAAGGGAGAGGGACGGGGAGTCAGCCGGCCTCTTCAAAACCCCTCGTAGCGCAATTAGGCTCTGGATTAGATTGTCAGACGTTCATTTATGATTTTTAAATCAAGAAAGTAGAAGCACCTTAAGATGGGATTTTCCCGCTTCGAAAAAAATAACATTTCAGAGGGATTCAATTATTTTTTGCCTCGCTCAGGGATTTGAAAGAAGACCAAACTCAAATCCACTTTAACCTTGTGGTCGCCATAGCGATAGCACAAATTACGTTTCTTGCTGGAATTGATGCCACAGAAGTTAAGGTAAGTTAAGGAAGTTAAGCTTAATCTGAAAGATAACGAAATAATGAGCATTTTGTTGGCCTGAATGATAAATTGATCGCTAAAACATTTAAAAAGAAAAATCACAAATGAAAGACTTTTGGATATAAAAGAGTTGAGTTTTGAATAACTTAATATCATTAGATGGCTTTCCCATGAGCTCGATTTTACGCAAATGTGCTAAAAAAATGTGGCTCAGTGGTCGAGTGCTCTTTAGTTCTTCTTTAGTATCTTTGGTTTATTTTTTACTTTTAATCATTTATTTTTTGTGTTGGGAGGTTGGTAAAAAGCGTGCTGTTATGGACAATGTGATGACGGTGAATCCCGTTTCTTTATAGGAACTGTGTGTGTTTGTAGCAGCCATGATTCATTACTTCTATCTGGTGGGATTTGCTTGGATGTTATTTGAGGGTGTTTACCTGTATCTGATGGTTGTCAAAGTGTTCAATACGGTCATCAGATGGCGCTTGTTCTATGGAGTGGCTTGGGGTAAGTATTAAAGCAAAAGCCTACCGACAGAAAATGGCCCGTTGGTAGATCTAGTCAAGAGGTCTTGACTTGTAAGTCCCTTCCGGGATCAAAAGCATTTCGTTAATTGACCACTCCAAAATTACCATAACATACCATAATGCTCTATATTTGTCACCCCAAAATTTTGCATAAAAATTGTTTTCAGTTTCTCTTAGGGCCATTTTAACTCCCAAGAGAAACTGAAGACAATGCTTATGCAAAATTTTGGGGCGACGAACAAAAAGAGCATTATGGTATGTTATGGTCTTTTCTGGAGTGGTCAATTGATTCCTGGTTTATCTAGTTACTTTCCTTACGTACTTACAAGGACTTGCAATTGAGACTTGCTATTCAGAGGAATTTGTACACTCACTTCTCAACACCACAGTTTTCATAAGAGTGTACACTGACGTATCTGACGCAACCCAACTGAGCCTAACTTTTCATTTTTCTCTTTTTCGTTTTCAATCAAACCTTAGGCGTCTCCCTTTTGATTGTGGTTTTATCGATCGTGATTGCTTCCATTCAAGATGGTGGGATAGAAAGCTATGTTCATGATCATTTGTAAGTAAACAAACCAGATCTTAATACTACCGAACAAAACGGAGCAAGAAAAACTTGGAGGTTTCAAGAATCTGTTTATTTTTTTATGACCATTTTTTATTTATTTATTTATTTATTTATTGCAAAGTTACTTATGAAATTTGCCCAAACTGTCTTTTTCAGAGGAATTATTATGAGCACGTTCACGTTACAGGCCTAAAAAATTGGTTTTCAAACAACTGAAAATGTTTAAATAAGTCTTCGTAGACTTTTTCGTCAACATTTCCAATTTTAACCGTCAAGTTTTATCAATAATCCTTTCTTAGTAACACCTTGATTTTCTTTATTTTTTTCAGTTGCTGGGTTTCCTTCAAAAATAACCTTATCTGGACGTTTGTTGCGCCTGTTCTCTTAGTTTGCACGGTAAGGGTAAGAAAGTGGAAATGTCCCATAAGTGAATAAGTTTGTTAAGAGAACAATTTAAAAAATAATTGCTTACAGAATATTGAGGGTCACCTGTAACTGATTAAAAATTGATATAATCATCAAATATTTGCCATGAAAATGTAAGACGTGAAACTGAAATTAATAACGATTCATGTAGAAAAAAGAAAACCAGAATATTTAGCTTCCTTTCATATCATATCTTGGTGGATTACAGTAAGCCCATAAATGGACTGATAGCGGCTACCAGTGCCGCCCTTGCATGCTGACGTCAGAGCTTACTGTTAACATGTAAATATATACTGTAAAGAGGACACGTTTATTGTCCTCTTATCCACGGCATTTCATTTATTCATTCATTTGCGGGTAATAAACACATCTGGGATAGAGCGCTGCGGTGAAGGGGAGGCTGTGACGTCATACTTAGCGTGCTATGCTTGAGATGTTTCATACGTCCGAGCTTTGATCGATTATTTATCGATTATATTTTATGTTTTCATTTATATATATATATATATAATATATATATATATATTTATTCATTTATTTGTTTATTTATTTATTCATTGTAGTCATATTTTCAAGACCTGAGAGAAAGAAAGAAACAGGGTCCAAGGTTTCTGCCATTAAAAGATATCTTATTCTCATGCATTGTTTCCACGCAGATAAACTCAGTTTTACTTGCCCGAGTGGTTCATGAGATCCTAAGAATGCAAGCCGACAAAACACCTCATCTGGAAAGAGTTCGACAAGGAGTTAAAGCATGCGTAGTTTTGTTTCCTCTTCTGGGACTGACCTGGGTGTTTGGTGTCCTAAGTGTCACAGATGCTGGACTCGTATTTCAGTACATCTTTACCATCTTCAACTCTTTGCAGGTATAGTACTAGAAAATCCAACATGTTAACTTTTTGAGTAGTTTGAGGAAACAGTCCACAACATAGCATTGTTAAACGTATTTAGTATTTAGACGGTAGATATAGGCATATTTTTATCCCCTAAAAATTTTTCATCTGTTCGGCTTTCCTAGCTGAAAGTCTAGTGATCCGAAAATTATAGGGATCAAAACTTACCTTTTCAAAAATTTCAGCAAGAAAAAAGGCTCCCGAAAATTTTAGGTGACCTTTTTAGGGTTAAAATCCGTTAAAAATGGGCAATTATACCATTTTTTAGATGTTTGAAAATCCTAGGAGAGGCAGTCAAGCAAGAAATTTTACAAAAAATGTTCCGAAAATTCTAGATCTCAAATCGTCTTCCGAACAGATATTTTTTGAAAATTGACGCTGGGTGCCCTGATTTCGCGACGCCACCACTGGTTTCCCCAAGAAATGACGTTTGGCGAAGAACATCCATACTGATGACGTGTCAGAAACCCAGATCTGGGAAGTGCTTCTAATTGGATGAAGCAGATTTTAACCAATCAGAAGCACTACCCAGATCCGGGTAGTGACGAGTGATCAGTATGGAATTTCTCCGCTAGTTTCTCCAACGTCATTACGCGGGGAAACCAGTGGTGGTGTCGCACAATGTCCGATGTTTTCTAAGGCTAACTGACAGCGAGCAAATATTATTTTATCAAATCTTAGCTTGGTGGCTAAAAAAGCCGTTTTAATTCACTCATTCGTTCATTTATTTATTTATATATTTTGCCACACAAGCATTCGAAGTTTACTCCAGACTTTGACAGTAGTGTCAAGGAATGTAGCGATCGAGAAAATTAACATGACAGAACATAGAATAGTAGAGATGGTGGGCGGTACCTGATACCATGTACTGCGATTAACCATTGACTATAAATTTTGCCTTCATTTCTTCTTTTCTCTCACCCTTATGAAGGAACTTAACTTTCTTTTTATTTATCGATACACACATTTTTAGGGTTTGTTCATCTTCATACTTCACGTTTTGAGAAACAGCGACGTACGTGCAGCATACTCCAGAAAAATGCAGAAGAGGAATGCGGCAAAAAGCGTGAAAAACTCTCAAGAAAACCGCAATACAATCGGATTGTGGTCAAACAAAGTGACGAATGAACCAAGTTGTACAAAAGAACCTAGCAGTGCCTCTCTAAGATCAACGGTTGGAGTAAAAAGCAAGATTGACAATGCCCTGCACGAGGAAAGAACCATGACTCCTGTTGACACGTGACTGTCACGTAGACTGCACGTGAACTTGTTTTAGTAGCCACTGTTAGAAAACAGATAGCCTGCGTGGCCGTCGTTGATAGGGGAAGGGGGAATTTGGGCAAGTTTTCATTATATGTTTAAGTTTAATTCTTAAAGGAAATAGCATAAAAATCCTACAAAGAAATATTACTTCTGTTGACACGTGACTGTCACGTAGACTGCACGCGAATTTGTTTTAGTAGCCACTGTTAGAAAATAGAGTATTGGCAAGTTTTCGTTATAGGTTTAATTCTTATAGGAAAGAGCATAAAAATCCTACAAAGAAACATTACTTCTGTTGACACGTGACTGCATGTCAGTAAGCCATTTCCCGGCGAGTAAAATAAATAAAACTCATTTTCACAAGAAATGTTGTGCACCTAGCCTCATTTTGAAAGTGAGGGTTTTTGGAACTCGGAAGTGGCCTATTTGGAGGAAAAATTTGAACAGAGGAGAGGAAGGGAGTGAAACTTATACCCCACAGATATTTGACTACGGCAGTGGTTTTACTGAATGAGAGCAGATTTTTCTGTAGCCTGTTTCAGGCGTTCAGTGTAGAGAGAGTTAAATTGTAGGCGGTGAGCGATAAAGGAACGCGAGAGGAAATCAAAGAAAGACTATCGTCAACTCGTGGGAACGATGTTTAGCAAATAATCAAATGATAGTTATCAACTCTGGTTTTCCCACAGTAAATTGTGGGAAATGATAGAAATTCGGATTGTTTATCCATATGTTAGTTTAATATACTATCTTTTCTTTGGAAACACGATACTTTTCTTGCTGTTTATTGCAGTCTATTAAATAACAGTTATTTAAGCATATATTTATAGAAAAACAACAAAACAAATAAGCAAACAAAACAAAACAGAAACGGAAAGAAAGAAAGAAAGAAGGAAAAAAAGAAAAGTATAGAGAAGGAGTCGACCCGGCACCTTTAGCTTGACGAGACACACAAATTTGGCGATAAGTCTTTAATTTAATGCCTTTTCCATGGAGCCTCCACCGTTTGAAGATGATAGAGCAGCATTAACCGAGAAAAAAAAAATTTAAACGCATTCCATGGCGATGAATTAATGAAAGAACATAATTACGCTTTACAAAAAGCCGATAAACCTCGTCTGCGAAGTAGCACGCAAAACATATATTCTGTTATCTCGATTTCCGCTGTAATTTTGAAGCTAATTAATGATCAAAATCACATCCATTTTCGTCTCATACAGGTTCTTAAGACTGGCATGGCATTACATTTTGTCACTTTCAGATGACTTTCCAACAAGCCGGAATTCAGTATATATCCCCCGTGATCTTGCGGCGGAGTCGAAGAGCAAATGCTCATCTTCTCTTGTCAGGTTTAACGCCTAGACGAGTCAAAGGCTCTTAAAATCCAATCCCCAATTTAACCACCGTACTCATCTGAAAGATTCCTCCATGTCTTAAATTTGGTAAGACATCTAACCGTATTGTAGAAAATTTGCCGCAAAGAAAACTCTGAGTCTGAGCAGCGAACGATGCAAGCTCTCGGACTTCGGCGAACGCGTGCTTCTTCGGACAACGATAGATCTTCGCACTCTCGAGTTCGGATCCCATTAATTACGAAGTCTGTCTACTACGAGTGAGCGAGTGACTCATTTGCATATCACCGTCCCTGCAATAACTCGTGGTTCCGTCCCGCGTCCCCACGAGTTAGACAACGAGAGGAGACTAGGGAGTTCGCAATCAACTAATTATTTGCCCGCGTTCTACCATCTGAATGCCTGGAACAGACTAAATTTTCTTCTGAGTGTCTCAGAATATTTTGGCAGCTAGTTGTAGTTTGTGCAACGCTTAAAGACACTGAAAACTGACAAAAAATAAAAAATATATATTAAAAAACTATGCTTTCGTCATTGATGGATCCAGAAAGAGTAGCTGCAGAAAAAGTCGAAGTCGGAAAACAAATAAAATTGTGGCACCTGAGGTGACAAGATAGTTTGAAATAGGACTGGGCACTTTTGCATTCGAATTATTCAAGTTCAATTTTATAGCGTCACCTGGAGGACACAAACAAAATATAGTTTTCTTTTCTTGCTTTCTTTTCTTCTTTTTTCTTTCTTCCTTTTTATTTCTTCTTCTATATTTTATAACCCCTTTTTGGGTATTTTATGGGTAAGTAAAAGGCAACATTTCTTTCCATTTTTTTTTTTTTTCTTTTTTTTTTGACAACAACAACAACTCCAGCTTACATCTTGTATAAAACACCATTTTAAAAGCTCCGGCTCCAGTTTGAAACCTCAAAAAAATGTTAACGGCGCACCATGAGTATACACAGGAAGAAAGCGTGACTGAGGGAAACGCTAAGCGGGCAAATAAACTAAGGCCAAAAAAACTAAAATGGAATATTGTTTAGGTGACAGATTGGAATTATACTCTGCTTCATCACTTTTTTTTACTGTGAGCCATGATTCTTATTGACGTACGCGAAAATTTCCTTTGTCGGTTGTATTATAAATTGGCACATCGAACGCAATGAAATAGTCGATAACCCATGCGGTAGCTAATATATTACACATTTCATATGATGCGTTGATTTTGTCTGGTGAAAAAAAAAACAACTTTAGTTCAGTCTTTATTCAAGGCTTCTAAGAACCGAAAACTCGAAATAACTCGAAATAATCGACTCTTCGATTTTTAAACTCCTTCTTTATATATTCGCAAATTTGCAGCTTTTAAACTTAATCTGAGGAAGGTGGAAGGCTTTCTTTTTCCCGATTATCTTTGTTTTCGTTTAACTTCTATTCATAATTGCTTTTTAAGCCACCAAACGTCACTGAGGTGTCGTAATTATGTAGTTTTCGGAAAGTCTAATATATTACGCATAAATTTGGTGGAGTTTATGAAGTTTAAACTTGAAAAAAAAAATACTGCAACGTTTGACGCTGAGGAAGGAGCTAGAGCCCAATTAGACTGACTTCCGCATGTGCACTGACGTTAGGCAATATGAATTGACTTTTCAGAATTACGTAGTTAAGTAAAAACTAGTAAGTAGTTCGTAGTTGATGGGTTATTAGTTTTTTTCTCTTTTTCTTTTGTTAAACCCTCCGGCAAGGTCATTACAATTTTAATAGACATCATAGGGTTGAAGTTAAGTTGCTTTAGAAAGTAAGAGCTAGGAAATCGAAACCTCCTTAATTCAATGCTTTAGTAAGTTAGCTGTAATTTAGCTTTTCATGTTTGCCCGTTGGCGGCGAGAAACTGCATTATTAGGCGTTACTGATATTCTATTTTTGTTTTAGCAATAGGTGAGTAATTTCTCGTGCGCCAATAATTGGCTATCAAAAAGAGCCTTTTTTTGCAAAAAGAGAATCATCGTGGTTCGAAAACATTTTGACAAAGTTATGAACAAATTTTGTCTTCAATTCTGAAATAACAGACAACTTAAAAAAGCTGATGTCGACTGGTTAAATCGATGACCAATGGTTGAAATCATATTTTAAAAAGTTTCAAAGACTTTTTGGTAATAAAAAGTGATAAAAATGATCGAAATTTTCAAAACGATTTTCAACACGAAACAGAAAATTTATAAAAAAAAACCTAAAAGGAATTTTTTTAAATTACGTCACCAAGATTAACACATTTGGAAGTAGCCAAGAACAGCTATCACTCTCAAGGCGTCAGCCACATGGGATCACCGATCCCATTTGTAATCGTCTGAGGAAGAAAAGGCTTTGACTGAATCGAATCGCTGGCGGTAGCTTCCTCGTTACATGTATATTTCGATTCTGCTCCTCTTAAGTGGGGAGTATAATATACTGGCATATATATAGCGCCACAATTTTTATCTAGTTCATGTTGATAGCAAGACACCCTATTTGGCTATTTGTTTTAGAATTTGAACGTTTTAAAGCTTTAGCGCCCTTACGACGTCCGTTTTTTTGCACTTCTTTGACAGAAAAAAAAATCGAAAAATGTTGATTGAATATTTCTTCTCCGTATTTCTTATTGAAATTGATCAGAAAAAAACTTCAGTTTAGCCCTGTTTAGTGTACAGAACATGTTTCACAACAAATTGACTTGTAAAATATGCAGATGAATTAAAGGATGCGTCTCATTCATCACACATGTCCCACGCGCTATCAATCGGTCAGTAATTAACTGGAAGTATACAGGATAGGTAACACGTACAATCCTGAAAACTGAATTTACCCATACTGGATAAAAAGGAATATTTTACAACATTTAAACTGTTCAACAAATTACTAATAAGAGCCACGCAAAAGGAAATGATCGCGATAGGCTTAGGGCACATAAAGGCGGAAAGTATATTAAGCATCAGTCACCAGTTTAAAAAAATACGATAAACTGTTTCGCTCATTAAGTATTTGACTTGAATTACCTATTCAGTCTTTGCACCAACACCATTTTACCTTTCGGTTGTCAATCATAACTCTATGTAAAAAGTTGTTAACTTAATGGGTTGTTTCATTAAGACTAGGCAATCTTTCCGAACGGTGACAAACCGCAAGCGACATGATATTTAAAAGAGACAATTAAGGTTTAGAGCTTAAAAAATAATTTTAATTAGTTATATGTTTAGCCATAGCGCAAAAAAATACTTCGCTCGTCTAAGTTACTAAATTACAACAATAGAAAATTTTTAGGCTCTCAAATAAGAGATTATTGGCTGGGGGTGGTGGGAGAAAATTCGCCAAATAACAACAAGATTTAAAAAAACAATTTACAAACTTTCTTTAACGTCAATGGCAACCGAAAATGTTTTATTTTTACATTGTTCACAACATGTTTTCGAACGTCACAGTCACACTTTAAGCCGAGAAATTTCTTTATTATTTTTTTAATTTATTCTAATCATTTCAACTTTCTGAACCTTTCAAACTCAACAACTTAAAAATGAAATTTCAGTTTTGAATAAAATTATTTTCCCATGTTTGTATAATGTGTGAAATTGCGTCAGTAAGAAGTTTACACTGATCCGGAATTAAGCAA